AAAAAAAACCATTGATGTACATTTTTTTTACCTTGCAAATTCAGTCCTCGATAATTCCTCCATGCCTCTACAGTATATTGCGTAGGCTAGCCAAACGTTTCCGTTAACTGTAACACGTCTGTGCATGCGAAGAACACGATTCGCACTGACTCACATCTATTCAGACCCTTCTTTAGATGTAAGGAGGGGAAACAGCTGGCTGCCTGGCAGCCTTAGTAACCGCGCGCTATCTGCGTCGACCTCGAAAATCCTGTCTTCTCTTACCTTTGTACGAGCTACAGCAGGCCAAATTATTTACAAATGCTTCGACCTTCCATTTTTTATGTTTATTTACTGAGGTAAATGCTAAGGAAACCTTTTCAATGGTATAAATATTGAAAAAATTGAAAAAATGAGAGGTGGGCACCGGAGTACCCCGGGTGCGTCCGAACGTTGGTAAAGTTGGGTGCGTACACAAGGGTTAAATAAATGCGGACAATATCCCTTTTCACCCCACCCCGCAAACCGAAAGCCTTCGGCAGAGCTGACAAACGCATATAGTTGATACTGTCAATAAATTTCGTACGCCCGACCGTTAATACGATGATCTTCGTGCCGTTTAATATTACTTGTGGATCCAAATCGACACGTTTTTCCGTGATGTAACGAAAGATGAACTGCGCGTCGAACGCCTTGGCGTTGTGCGCGATGCAGATAATCTGCATGAAACATTTCGTCGTTCTCGTAACGAAATCGACGAATTGCCTCACCGAATCATCGCGGAACACGAATTCGCGCACACCGCACCACCGGCAACGTACCGTCATGTCGTCCTCGCTTGCACACGCGACGCAAATCTGCTGTGCGACGCAAAGAGTGGGCACGTGAATTTTCACAGACGCTGTACCTTCGAGCGTCTTATCCTGGCGGGTCTTGAAATCGTAAAACACGAATGCGACGCGCGCGTTTTTCTCTTTGCCGGTGACATCCTCGCGTGTAGAGGTCGAATATAACAAAGATGGTTTATATCTTGACGCGAATTGCAAATGTTACAAAACACGACGCCGCATTCGTGCATCGCACCCGCTCTTCTGTACAAACGCCCGCAATCGTCACAAAATTGCAAGGCGCTGCACACGCTCACGCGACCGTCTCCGACGATTTTTTGGCTCGGTGACGCTCGATGCACTCGCGCCCGTAAAACATTCTCTTACATTGCTCGCATCGAATTAATTTTACTTCTTCTGTTTCGCACGACGGCACACCGCGACAACGCGGACATTTATGCGAGCATCGATGAACTCCTCGTTCGGGACGATAAGGCAGGTTGCAAGGAATGAAGTATCCCCTGCTCCCCGCCGCCGCTCTTAAATTTAAAATCAGGCAATAGTGACGCGAACCCTCGCAATAAAGAATATTTAAACGTAGCAAGGATTCGCGTCCGAGAGAGGCGAGCAACGCATACCGTCGTACAACGGTTTTCCGCTTTTCGCGAAAGTAGACGAGGCGTAAACAATTACAGCTAACCCCTCCCCGGCAAGGTACCGTTGAAATCGCTCAATTTCCCCAATACTACAGCTCTCCTCCGGAATTGTGACGCCTGCTCTCTCCACCAACTCCTGTGCCCATTGGCGTTGTAATGAGGAGTTTGAACGTCTCATTGCATTCCATCGCTCATGTAGCTCGCCCGTGCGGGTGTTACCTCGTTCGAGGTATACCCGAGCGGCAACGAGTGAGCGAGGGAAACAGAGGTTGTCGCTATTCGTTCCTGAAAGAGTCGAGCGTTTCTCGATTCCTTCCGCGCCCAAAGGACGGCCTCCTTTGCCCGACGGAGAGTGGACGGTGCATACGCGTATCGTAAACGACGTAGCGATGTCTATCCCTCCGTTACTTTGCGCAACCGAACTCACGAGAGACCAAATATTCTCGTGTATCAAGTCACGCGCAGGACGACAAGAAAGACCCGCTGCACCGTTGGTCGAAGTCGGGGAGTCAAACCACACCCCAAAGTAATCATTCGGCTCCGATAAATTTGTCGCGTATCTGTGAATTTCGCGAAATGCACCCTCCACCCATTCTACTATTTCAGCACCAGGCTGAATTTCACGGATCTCAAATGTCGCCTCTCTCCCTATTACCCCGAATTTCTTAAATCTACTCGCGTTTTCCGTCCGTAATACAATAAATGTATAATTATTATTATTTTCACCGATCTGTTTTCTTTTCTCGTCATCGGCAGCACTGTCGAGTGTGGCGGGAGTAGCACTGCCGGTGTAACGCTCGGCGGTGATGCCGTCGCTGTTGCTTCTCTCGGCGGCGCTGTCGGGGGTGGCGGGAGTAGCACTGCTGCCGATGTAACGATCGACGGTGTCGTCGCTGCGCTCGTTGTTGGTGCCGTCCTGTTTACTACTACTATTTTCTTGCGCAACATTTACAGTTCCGCCCCCGTATTGCACTGTAAATATAAAAGCTTAATACAAATATTCTCAATATATTAACAAGCGATTATCGAACCACGGTAAACGAACCAATTATTGATACATTAGACAGACGCTTCAATTACGTTTGATTAAATTTATATATATACGTGTGTTGTATATAAGGTGTTGTAAATATATTGTTATAGAAATAAATATATCGTTATAAAAATAAAAATTTAAGTCAAATTTAATGAAAAATATACTGAGTGTTTGACTTTTCTTATTGCGTCAATTTCTACCGCGTAACATAAGAAAAACGCGTTTGGACATGCACAATATTAATAAAACTTAGTTATGCTCGATATTAATTTAAAAAATTTATTTTTATGTAATATTTATTTTTTTATTATTTTTTACCGTAATTTTAAGTTTATACAGGGAAATTAAATAAATAGGACAACGAGTATGTATATATTAAACGTTTATTTATTTAATTAAATGAAGCGTCTACCTAATTTATATCGCTAATTGGTTCTTTTATTTCTTTTTTATTATACCACTTATATACTACTGTGATCAAAAAGTAAGGTAAAATTGTCATTTAAAACTCCCGGGCATTAGGAAGGCAGGTAATTTTTTTTTCCTAGGTTGGTAGGACTGTCTATAATATTTTTCAAGCGTCTGTTTGTCAAAAGGTTTAATTATCTCCGAGTTACACGTGTTTTTGTAAACAATCAAAAGTGAATTTTTCGATTTTTCAATGGGTGATTTTGTTGAGCAAAGAACTTGCATCAAATTTTGTTTGCGGAACGAATATTCTTGTGCGGACACGTTGAAAATGTTGCGGAAGGCCTTTGGTGATCAAACTATGGCACAAAAAAACGTTTATAAGTGGTACAACGAGTTCAAAGCGGGCCGAGAACGCGTTGAAGACGAACCACGCTCTGGACGATCATCAACGTCTACCGACGAGGGCCACGTCCAAAAAATCAAAGATTTGGTGNTTGCAAATCGTCGATTGACAATCAGAGACCTCGCTGATAGTGTTGGAACGTTATGCGTCGTTTGCGTGAAGCTATTNGTCTGCAACGGCCGGAATTATGGGCGAATAACTCTTGGTTCCTTCATCACGATAATGCACCGGCTCACACTGCATTGGTTCTTCGCGACTTTTTTGGCAAAAACTCGACTCATATCGTTCCGCAACCACCGTATTTGTCTGATTTGGCTCCGTGCGACTTCTGGCTATTCAGCAAACTCAAAAGGCCAATGCGGGGACGCCGTTTTGACACGATTGAGGAGATAAAAACCGAATCNAAGAAGGTCTTGAAGGCTATACCGAAAAAAGACTATTCCGACTGTTTCGAAGACTGGAAAAAGCGTTGGCATAAGTGCATTGTATCTGCGGAGGATTACTTTGAAGGGGATGAAATTGATTTGGATGAATAAATAAAGAATTTACATTTTTTAAACAAATTCACCTTACTTTTTGATCACAGTAGTATATATTACATAACTGTACACTTATATATATTACAATTATATAAAATACTTTTCTAACTATTCTAACCTTCTCCTTCCGATATTTCTACAATGGAATCTTCCGTTTCCAAAATAATCACGGGGCGTTCGTCTTCTCCATCGTCATCGGATTCGTCGTTCTCGTCGTCGGCGTCGTTGATGTCGTCGGCATCCTCGTCATCATTGTTGTCGTAGTCGTCGTCGTCGTCGCCGTTGTCGGCGTCGCTGTTGTCGTCGGCATCCTCGTCATCATCATCATCGTTGTCGTAGTCGTCGTCGTCGTCGTCGTCGTCGTCATCGTTCTCGTCAGCGACGCCGTTGTTGTCGTTGTTGTCGGCAATGATCTCGTTTTCGATTTCCGACAAGAGACGGACTGTTTCCCGCTCGTAGCGCTCGTCTTCCATTTGCGCTTCCAGCCGCCTTCTTCGAAGCTCCTCC